CAGAGGAAACATCTCCAGACCATATACCAGAAGACAATGCTTCGCAACCACAGCATTTACAACCTAAGGTCCTGCAAAATGCTCATGTCTAAATCAGCGAATGAATAAACACGTGATTAAGGATCTGTTTACCCGAATGCAATTACACTAATTTGTTATTCGTTTCCTTCTTCAGGCTGCCCGTCTTATGGTACCTGTCCAGTTATTAAATTACAGAGTAATCTTGTATTTACGGCCGCGCCATAGCTCAAGCGGTTAGTCGCTAGCTTCCCACCGCGGCGGCCCGAGTTCGATCCCGGGTCTGGTCAAGTGGGATTTGTGGTGGACAAAGTGGCGCTGGGGCAGATTTTCTCCGAGTACTTCGGTTTCCCCTGCCAATCTTCATTCCACCAATTGCTCCACAATCACCCTCACCTATCATCTGGGGCTGGTACAATAGGCCAGAAGTGGTCACAGTACAAGGGACTTTGTCCCACCCCACTAGAAAAAAACAAAAAAAGATAATCTTGTATTTAAGCATCCTGTTGCATTACTATATTCAACCTTGTTTATGACGTCCCTTATGAGGTGTAATTAGGAGTTTTTATGTAATTACAAATTTTAACAAGACAACACATATTGGGCTTGCAGGAAAAACGGACAAGCAAGGGGCAAAACGTAACGTGCTACCATACGGAAAGGGTGAGCCGTTGCAATGTAAACAAACCGAAGAAGGGTATATTGCTTAGAAAAGTGGACGACGCCTTTCATGAGGTGAAATTACGAGTTTATACAATTAAAAATGTTAACGATTTTAAACTGATTTTAAATGCAATGAACTATAACATATAAAGATTTTAACGCAAAAGTTGAGTACAGTTTTAACATCTTAATTACGAAATATTCAGTTACGCGCGTGTGGAATGGGCAATACTCAGTGTAATGTAGCAGGTTTGGCATAATGGGACACCTGAAGATGGCCATTTGGGGTCGAAACGTGTTAATATCGAACGCAAATGTGAACGAAGAACTAAATATTTGCATTATTGACGGGAAAAAGTATGAAAACAAGGTTAATTATATTAGTGTAATATTATTGCTAGTGGGGTGGGACTAAGTCCCTTGTACTGCGGCCACTTCTGGCCTATTGTACCAGCCCCAGATGATAGGTGAGGGTGATTGTGGAGCAATTGGTGGAATGAAGATTGGCAGGGGAAACCGAAGTACTCGGAGAAAACCTGCCCCAGCGCCACTTTGTCCACCACAAATCCCACTTGACCAGACCCGGGATCGAACCCAGGCCGCTGCGGTGTAAAGCCAGCTTGAGCTATGGCGCGGCCCTTTAGTGTCATAAGTGACGGGTCTGTTGATATACAGTGTCTTGTGTTCATATTCTGCCAAACGTAAAATAAATGTTAGCATATCTGTCTCTAGATACGAAATTAATTTTCAAACAGAGAATCCGTGTTATTGGCTGTTAATTAAGGAGGAGAGTTTGAAAGTGATGGTGTTGGTGTTTGTTGTCTGACGCGAGAGGTAGATGGCGGTGACAGCACCATGATTACATTAGCCACCGCTGTTACTAGGGTTCCATAATTGAGAATTCGCCAGTCGGAAAATGAGATTTCCTCAGTACAGAGAGAAGGGGGGAGAAAAAACGCCTGGCCCTGCCAGCCAGTCACATGTACACAGATGCGGAAAATGCAAATGGTGTGGACAAAAAAAATTCTGATAATCTGGTGAGACTACGATGGATGAGAAACACAGAAGAATGGGAAAAAAGGAGGGAAATAATATATGGAGAAGGAAACGGAGAGGGAAGGGTTAAGATTTGAGATGGAGAATTACGCATGGGAATGCAAAACCTGGCATAAACATAAAGGAAATATATCACTACTTGTATGTCTGCCTTATTTATTTCCGTTTCTTTTGTCCCTGCTATGTTTCGGATATATTATAATAGCTTTTCTTACCTAAACGTTCATGTGAAATATTTTTAAAAACAAAATGTTCCTCTAAACAATCTATAAAACCGAAATCCACATCCTTAAATAAAATAATTTATGATAGATAAAACATCTCTGGAACAGGCGTTCCTTGGAAACTTTTTAATTTTCCCCTGCTAATTTTCTTTTTGCCGGTCACGGTAGCCGAGCGGTCTAAGGCGTGCACTGTCTTCGCTTGCTCGGAAGCCGGGATCGTAGGTTCGAATCCCACTCAGGGCCTGGATGTTTGTGTGTGTTTTTCTGTGTTTGTGTACAGGTAGAGGCCTTGCGACGAGCTGATCACCCGCCCAAGGAGTCCTACCGAATGTGTAAGATCTAGAAAAACCGAAGTGAACAGAGAAGTTCATGGAGGTAGGCCTAGGCCCACTGGGGCTGTAGTGCCAAGGAAAAAAAATTATCTTTTTACCAATGATCAGTGAAAGTACTAAGTAATTCAGTGGAAGTGACTTAGTTTTAATTTATATAATATATTAGGTTTAGAAAAAAATTAATCGTTAGTTATCCAACTAGTTTTAATTGTAATTAAGTTCTGGGTTACCCAGTCTTTAATTAATTAATAATAAAAACAAATGATCAATTCTCATCAGTCACTGTCCGTTTGAGATATGCTATAGCCCTGAGAAGGCAGCACGTTATCATATCCTCCGTTTTTAAGTTTGGGGCTTCATCTGTGAATCGGCATTTGACTGGAAGCTTTCGCAAGGTGCCAGGAAGAGCAAACACCACACAGAACTATCATAAGAAAAATGGAAGATACAACACAATTACTCTGAGGACCGGACTGATGAAACACAAAGACTCAGGGCGCTGCAGAGAATATTTGAACTTAGAGTAACCGGTAGGGAAGAAACATAATAAGCCTTGTCATTTGTAGCATTCACCTAATATTTTGATGATTAAACCAATGAAAGTGAGATGGGTAAGGGGAACGTAAATAAATACAGAATGTTTGTAGGTAAACATGGTCACTCGCAAAAGACACTAAAAAAAACTCCGTGGTTTTAGTCCGCAAGCGAAGTATACTGCCGCTTCTTGGCGAAGTTAGTGTTAACTTTAGCGGATAGAGGGTGTCGCGTGGTCAGCGCAGCGAATCCATACGGTCGTTAATTTCGGTTTATAGACCGGAGTCGCTATTTTCTTGAAATAGCTACTCAGTTATCCTCATGAGGCTGAATGGACCCCGCTCCAAACCCACTACTTTTTAGAAAATCTGGTTGCGCTGGGAATCGAACCCGGATCTCTGGATCTGTAGCCAGAAACTTTGAGCACTAGACCATTATTATAATAAATCTTGGAAAAATATGGTACGAGATTGTGAATAAAAATCTACTGGCTCTGAATAGAATCCCTTGGTTAACAGATGTGAGGGTTGTAAGGAATCTTCTGTCACCTAAATTCCTTGGTCAGCAAAGCACGCATGAATTTTTCGAGGAAGTATCTGCTTCGTGGAATGTATTAGTTCATTTTAGCCCTAAGCATCGCCTTCACTCTTCTACAGTTTCTTCTTCGGCACAGAATTAAATTTAAATTTACAATTCTTTCTTCTATATCCCCCCCCCACACACACACACACACTCCTTACTAAACTTTCGATCTCTCACAGCATTTGAATATAAAATGCAAATTCTTCAATAACGGTGAAAGACGCGTGAAAAAATATCCTTCTCAATCGAAGTTGATACCGTAAGCTTTTAACTACTTGTCAAGGCAAGATGGAGAATTTAAAATTCAGTCCCGGGTTGCCTTCCAAAATCTGACAGCCATTTCACTGAAACCATGCAGTTATATTTATTGAATTTCTGTCAGTTTCGATAAGAAACAAGAAACACAATATTATATTTCAGCATCCTGTTGCATTGATATAATTTTAAAGTATTTTTCTTTTCCGCCTACAATGCAACAAATTAATAACATTAATTTATATAATGACCCTTAAGCGCTTGATACGCACAATGAAAAACAACACATATAATATGATGCAGAAATAAGAACAATTTTAAAATATCAAGAAGATATGAACATCAACGGCATATCTTAAGAATACTATATAATTAGCGTACACTAAATTAGAATCCTTAAAAAAATTGTTGCCTGATGATGGCCTTGTAAGGCCGAAACATATATTAACATAATAACATATACTATATACGCTTTACGACGCGCTGATCGCTTGCCCAAGGAGTCCTACCGTTCGTGAAAAATTATTACAGAACTAAATAAGAGGCCAGGGCCTTGGATGGGCTGGAAGAGCCACTGTAAAAAAAAGAAATATTTATAAACGCCTCTGGGTAGGTAACGATCAGTTACACCATGTCGAAGCCTGTTTCAAGAACCTAACAAATCTATCATAAGGAAGTGGTAGGATAACTTCACCTTACAAAAATGTCTGGAAAAGAAAAATATTTTGTATCCTCATCCTGAAATAGGTCTATATTCCTATAAGATAACGATCCTATCGTTAGGAGCTGGTTAGATTACCTCAACTTAGAAGCTAACGAAAATACACGACACGTGCATAAGAACGACTGGCGAAATAATGTCCCACAATGAAAGCGACATATCTGTCACGCAATAAACAAAGCTATACTGCAGACGTCGTATGACCGATACACGACAGATGGCGTTTCTACTCGTTGTTAGTACTCCTACAGTACCATCTAGCGGTAGAAGATATAATTATATTAACTGCAATACAATTTATAACAACTTTTAGGTTGAAGTGCGCGACTTTTCGATCTTCTTGTATCTGCAGAAGAAGACTAATTCCTAACCAATCTTGAATTGTATTTCGAAAAGCAAACAATCATATCATTTGGAGCTGAGGAGGTAACTTCAACTTTAAAACTAACAAAAATATCTGGACAAGAAGAATAATTTGTATCTCATCTTGAAATATACTGCTGCAAGGTAACAAACCTATCGCTAGGAGCAGATTGAATTACTTCATCTTACAGACTAACAAAACCATTAAGCATGACTACAATTGTCACTAATAAATACTTCAGTTTCACTCACGGTTTTGCGCGTCGTGCCTGCTGCCGCCTCGGATGAACGCTGCCGGACCGCCGACAAGGGCCGCTGGGTATGGTCACTCGGAAATTTGTTCACATACACCAAAAAAACACCCACACGATCACAGAAGAAGAAACTTGTTGTTAAACGTACGTAGTTAAACATTTTGTATTGCGGCGAAAGACACTGCAACTTCACAATAAAAGCACTTATTGCAGAGGTTTACCTCCCGCCATCAATAATGTGACATATAAGTAAACACGTTCCCAAGCGTTCAAGAATTGGCGCCAACTGCTATGCAACGGTTCAAGTACTATGATTCACTGCACGCTGCATAACTTTGACTGTTGAATGCCGATATCCACGGCAAAAATCGTTAAAAGCACATAAACGGAGGGAAGCTATAAGACTAACTGTTGGGAACGGTGTCGCATATTCGATCGGCTGAAGGGTATGTAAACAGGCAGAAGTCAGACACCGAGATCAATTCAGGTCCCGTGTGGAGGCGGGGTCGAATACATCCACCTTAGCCCTGCGAGTCGTAGGAGGCGACGAAGTCCCAAATCTGAGACAGTAAAAGATGGTAACGAATCCCAATGGACTCAGACCGGAGAAATACTGCGCTGGCAAAGACCAGCAGCATATACAAAGGACTGATCCGTCCTCTCGTCAGAGAGGGTGCCACACAAAAACAAGACAGTAACTGTCAAACAGTAATAAATATGTGGTCATGGGCCCCAGATGGAGCTCGACACAAAGACTGACTGACTGACTGACTGACTGACTGACTGACTGACTGACTGACTGACTGACTGACCGTCAGTCGGAATGTGACTTTGACTTTGACACAGAAGTCAGATGTCAGAAGTGAAGCGCCCTTTAGAGTGTTATTACGGTTTGTAGTTACGAAGTGTTATAGTTGCAGTAAGACTGAAAGTGTTACAATTAAATGTAGTTCCGCCTGGTGAAGATCCACTAAACCGACTCACTGATCCAAACCCGCATCTAAAGCCACTAATACACGTGACAATATGCTTACATGTGGCTGCACCGTAAAACAAGAAAATTAAAAACGGAATCATAAATTTCTATAAAATATTACAACCAATATATGTTAAAATTCACAGATGTAGGTTGCCATTAGAGTTCGCGATTCTAAAAGTTAGAGCTATTCCTGTAACAGGCCGTGGAAGTCCAGAGGGTTGTGAGACAACGAGGCTCCCACATTTTCTAGACAATCGGCTCACAGATGGCGGTAAGTTTGTCAGCCTTACGCGCCGACCGCCCGCCCTCTACCCCCAAGAAGATTGTTGGTACTCATTTCTGATAGTCTGAATCGGTCCCATGTTCATAGGGCGGGTAACCCGAATAAAAGGTGATGTTTCTTCCCTCCCCCCCAAAAATATTACTTCTAAGAAACGAGGGGTCTCTTGTTTTCGGGCCCCTAAGACTGTAAAGAAGATGGCTATGAGGAGTCATAATTACTAATTCTACTTCTGAAAATGCCTAAAATTATATTTAAGTTATTATTTTTTAATTTATTATTAATAGCATAGTTTTAATTGGATAATAAAATTAAAATGCTTCATAGAGAAATAGAAGACAGTAATAGACTTTCGGGTGTCTTAAAATTTTGTGAAATTACTGACCACCTGAGCCACTATCGGTTTCTCAAGAAGGACTGGGCTCCATGGAGTTAGTTTTTTTAATTGCTAATGGGGTGGGACTAAGGCCCTGCGACTACTTCTGGCCTATTGTACCAGCCCCAGATGATAGGTGAGGGTGATTGTGGAGCTATTGGTGGAATGAAGATTGGCAGGGGAAACCGAAGTACTTGGAGAAAACCTACCCCAGTGCCACTTTGTCCATCCCAAATCCCACTTGACCAGACCCGTGATCGAACCCGGGCCGCCGCGGTAGGAAGCCAGCGACTAATCGCTTGAGCTATGGCGTGCGGCCCTAGTTAGTTAGTTATGAAGGTTTCTTTTGTTTACAAACACCGGAACTAAATGACATAAATTCTGTCCAAAAGAGCACCCTTTTTTCTGATTTTCTCATTGCAAAAGTTAGAGGTCGCCTTATTTTTCGTCTTATACGTATACCGATCTAAACCTATCACAAGTATTTCCGTTAAATTCAATTCTGCTTTGTCGTCCATTTTCAGTTAATCACAATCAGTACTACTGAATGGATAACGAATTATTAAAATGGAGAGCAATGTAACAGCACTTTCAGCAAAAGAGTTGCACCTACAAACACTGCGTAGCAGCTATCACAGTAACAGACAGGCTTGAAGAATCATGTGACAGTTGGTCTGCAGATCTGGCTGGGTGTCTGGGCACACAGTGCTTCCCACTGTACTGGGCGGAAACCTGCTTAGCATTGCAACTGCTACAGACGTTGGATTACACTCTTAGCGTCTTTCGAAATGTTAACGCAATCAAAGCTCTTTAAACCTCTCAAATGTAAGGTAAAATTGTCCCTGTGTTTAGGTAATTAACTACCACGCAGTGAAGACGTATAGGGGAGTGTAGGTATATCTCAAACATTCTTGGCCTGGGAACTAGATGGAGGTTAATGGTCAGCTTCACGCCCTGACCGCTTTACCTCTGAAGAAAGGGCCACCAGTAACCATTGGATAAGAGACTATGTGGAACCCAAAGCTAGTCTGAAAGTGTAGAGAAGAGAAAAATCTCCTATCCTTGCCTGGAAAAGAACCCCGACCGTCCAGTCTGTAGCAGGTCGCTATACTGAGTGAACTAAACGTTTGAAAAAAATCCACTAATTTGTTTACGATCCGTCATTTTTACTTAAAACATAAACTTCCATACTCCTTCATACACATCTGCACATTAGATCGTTACAGAATAAAATAAGATACACTGCAGGTACGAAGTTTGGTGCATATCCGCTTAGCCCCGAATTTCATCAAAATTTCTGAAATAGTTTCTGATGCAGAACGGAGACAGATGTACACGAGCTCTTTGATATGTGATCAGTTGTGCAAACACATGAAAAGTTTACGAGCGGGTTGACATAGCGGTAAAATTCTAGACTTGTATTCAAGAGTTACTTAGTTTGAATCTTGGCCTGGCCGTGTTTTCCTAGTTTTTCCTAGTTTCCGTCCACATCATTTCCCATTCATCGTACCACTCGAAGCTGGGCAACTATATGGATAATTTTCTGTCGGTTTCCAACAATTATTAAATATTCTGGAGCAAAGTTTAATGTTTGTTTACCATACAGCAAACCATCGTTAATCCGGTTATAGTTAATCCAGATTTCGGATAATCAGGATCAAAATATGAAAAATGAAAAATTCTGTGCACAGTTGAGTACATACTTTAAAAGACACTTGGGATTTAGGAACAAGAGGACTTTCAGACTGTGTTGAGGGCAGCTGGAGAGACTGAAACCACGCAAGAAAATATCCAAGATTGGCTTGAGCTGGATTTCGACTTCTGACACGGGAACAAATTGCTGAAGTGATATTTTTTATTTAATTTTATCAGCTTTTAGGGATACAATCTTGATTACAGCTTAATCCTGATGACGTCTACCCCCAAATTAATCCGGATTAGCGAGGATTTACTGCACTAATAACATTGTAAACAATTTTACAATTCTGTGACAACATATACTTATTACTTAATTTAAGATACATATAATTACTACACTGATGTAGGTGGTTAGGTTATAGATTCAATGACCGAGAAGTCGGAGTTCGATTCTAGGTATGGGCACAACATTTTTCTCTTCTACACAGTGTTCAGACTGGCTCTGGGGTCCGGCTAATCTTCTTATCCGATGGATACAAGTGACTTTTCACCGAGAGTTAATCGGCCAAAGCGTGAATCTAACCACTCATCTGCATCTGGTATAGACGTTAAAATTTCATGGAGCGCTAACTTATCTCACCTTTGTATCTACATGGCGTAATGGTTGACTGAGTAGAGAAATAGCTTTGCCTTTACTGCCCTATTCTAACGTACACAGAAAAGTTGACAGGGGATTGAGTTAAGTTCAGAACCAAACTGTTTCCATATTAACAATCGTTTTATAAAAATATGTCAAAAATTATGTTTAGAATATTTCAGAGCACCGAATAAATTAATAACAGTTACTACAAGGAAATCAGTTACGAAATGTAACATACCTGTTTGACCGCCCTTAATAGAAGGAACCTGGTTGCCATGATAGCAAATTCGCAGTTATGTACTAAACATACCGTAGGAATCATCTCTACAAAACGTATTGCTTATTATATGACTACTTTCATAACAAATTACACTTGCCGGATGACGTTAATAAGCAGAAGACCTCATTGCTAACTCCACTGGCTTCACCGAAACTTGATGCAGACCGAACCGTTTCAATCACCACGCAACACAGCTCATTAATCCAAAGCAATCTTCTGTTTATGTTTAATTCTATTAATTAATTATCATAAATTACTGATAATGGGATATAATAATACAACTTAGAGTAGTTATAATAAGTTCTATCGCACACGATAATATAAAAACACCGAAGACGCAAGCACAACTCTCCACATTGTCTCGTGTGAAATGAGTAACACATACGTTCACTATCGATCCATAGCTACTTGTATTCGTTAGTCCGCGTTTTATATCGAACTCGAAATAATGTTTCTAAGATTACTCACTGTCATCAGAGACACCTAGCGACAATTTCTGTGTTTAAGCCTATAGTATGCCTCATAATTTGAACAATCATGAATAATATTGTGGACTGAACGAGAATGATGGTCATATTGTTATGAAATTTCTTTGAAATGCTGAAAGAATGGGTGTGGGATGGTTCGATCAAGAAGGGTCACTGGTTAGGGAGTGAATAGGTGGTGTTTAAATCTAGGTAAGAGTATTCGAATTTCTGGCTGTCGTTTCATGTTTTATAAAGGAAATAGACTTGTAATGTGATCATATCTGTGTGTCAGTGTGTCTATATCCCCCTGTCTTTTATCTCTAATCCGTTTAATTTTCATAAAATAAATATAAATGCAATGTCGTTATATGCCACCCTACCTTTCTATTCCTTAATTTGATATAGTACTATTAAAATGTTCTGGCGCTTAATTAAGGATCGGGCATTAAAAACCTGTTGTGTGTTCTGGAGGTACAGCTCCACGCATATTTAACCTCGGCACTAAATGAAGGTGTGCCTCAAATTCCGGATCCCAATCCTTGGTGATCAGACTCACACTGTCAGCAGGATTGGAAGCTACAGGCCCAAGACAGGTCTGAACACTGTAGATTAAAGAATTATTTGCCCCTGGCAGACCCCAACCGCTCAGTCGTTCAGCATGTCACTATATCGACTGAGCTTTACCAGCTGTAGTTTACCGACTTTTCGGTTGAACGTACAGCCTCCTTCCTCAGGATCGAAGAGTAGGATAAGCAAGCAAACAGCAAGAAGTAAGCAGAGCAGAGAAGGAAACAAACAAGAAAGTAAGAAGAAAGCAGTCTTCTTGGATTTGGCACCGTGTATATGTGGTNGGTGATCAGACTCACACTGTCAGCAGGATTGGAAGCTACAGGCCCAAGACAGGTCTGAACACTGTAGATTAAAGAATTATTTGCCCCTGGCAGACCCCAACCGCTCAGTCGTTCAGCATGTCACTATATCGACTGAGCTTTACCAGCTGTAGTTTACCGACTTTTCGGTTGAACGTACAGCCTCCTTCCTCAGGATCGAAGAGTAGGATAAGCAAGCAAACAGCAAGAAGTAAGCAGAGCAGAGAAGGAAACAAACCAGGATGTAAGAATTTAGAAAAGAAAGAGATGAGAAAGAAAGAAAAAAAGGGAAAGAAGGGGAATAGAAAATAAAAAAAGAGGGAACTAAGGAAAAGAAGAGGGAGAAATAAAGAAAGAAAGAAAGAAAGAACTTAGGAATGAAAGAGAACAGAGACAAAACAAAGAAGGATTAAACTAAGGAGGAAAAGAGAGACAAATAAAGAAGGAAATAACTTAGGAATGAAAGAGAATAAACAAAAACGAAGAAGGAAGGAACCAAGGAAGAGAAGAGAAGAAAATTAAGAAGGAAAGACGTTAGGAATGAAAGAGAATTGAGAATAACAAAAACTGAGGCAACCAAGGAAGAAAAAACTGGAAATAGACAAAGAATGAGGAAGCTGAAGAAAAGCTAAAGAAGGAAGAACAGGTAATGAACACGAAAGAACGACAACAGAGGGAAGAAAGCAAAAGAAGGATTGAGAAGATATAGGTGTACGTGTAACTAATAAAAAAAAAAAGAAACTGAGGACGCTAGTAAATAAATTACTTCACAAATACAGAAGGAAAAGTTCATATAACAAACCTGGAGTGGAAAACGATTTGAAAACAGAGAATGTAAGAAACTGGATTACGTTGCCCGACTTTTCCTTTGCCTTGTATAAAGTCGGGGAGCTTTTCCTGACTGGTCGTCGCCATGGAAACGACGTAATTGCTTTGATATACATCGCCTAAGGTTATGTTATTGTTTTGTTTGTGATCCAGTTCAGCCGTCACACGCATGCGAATGTATAGGCAGAGGTTTGACAAAACAGAAAATCAAGTCTGGCATCTCAAGGAAATTATTCTATTTATAGGAAGTCGATGCGCCTCTTAGAATTACGCCTTCTCCGTTTTCCAAAAAGGATTTGGTTCTTTGAAGAACGCTTCCAGGTTTAAAAGTTAATTTGGTGTCTCCATCTACACTCAGATCTACCCTGTTTTCTTTTCTTTGAGGTGATTCAATTTCATAGATCCTTTCTCCCATCTCTGCATGTCTCCAAATTAATTGACAATCTTTACGTCAGTTACACCAACCCTTTTTTTTTATTGCTAGTGGGGTGGGACTAAGTCCCTTGTAATGCAGCCACTTCTGGCCTATTGTACCAGCCCCCGATGTTAGGTGAGGGTGATTGTGGGGCAATTGGTGGAATGAAGATTGGCAGGGGAAACCGAAGTACTCGGAGAAAACCTGCCCCAGCGCCACTTTGTCCACCACAAATCCCACTTGACCAGACCCGGGATCGAACCGGGGCCGGAGCGGTGGGAAACCAGCGACTAACCGCTTGAGCTATGGCGCGGTCTTCACGAACCCTTACTTCTGTATTGCGATGGTTCCTCAAGCTGTGGGTCGCAGCCCGTAACAGGGGCTCCCGATCTTCTGTACTGGAACTCACCCAGTTCTGAAGTGTTACTTAAAACACTGCTGTAACCACTTACAGTTCTGGGAAATCAGTAACATGTAATAGAGGTATTTTAAGGGATTGTAGCTGCAAGCCGGAAGGTCACAATTTCAATTCCCGATGAGGTCGTTGGATTTTTTCAATTGACCCAATTTTTCCAGCTGCACTATGGCCCTGGGGTCGACTCAGCCTCTAACAGAAATGAGTATCAAGAATCTTCATGGGAGTAAAGGGCGGCCGGCGCGTAAGGCTGACAACTTCACCGCCATCTGTGAGCCGATTGTCTAGAAAATGTGGGACCCTCGACGTCACACAACCTTACGGGCCTCCATGGCCTGTTACAGGGATACCTTTACTTAACCTCACCGCACATCTGTGAACCAATTGTCTGGAGAATGTGGGATCCTCGACGTCTCACAAACTTATGGGTGTCCACGGCCTGTTACAGGGATAGTTTCACTTAACCTCAACACCATCTGTGAGCCAATTGCCTAGAAAATGTGGGAGCCTCGACGACTCACAACCCTATGGGCCTCCATGGCCTGTTACAGGATAGCTTTACTTAACCTCACCGCCATCTGTGAGCCGATTGTCTGGAGAATGTGGGATCCTCGACGTCTCACAAACTTATGGGTGTCCACGGCCTGTTACAGGGATAGCTTCGCGTTTTGCAATGGATTATAGCTGCAATCAGCAAGCAATTAAGATTGTGAATTCATTATATTCCGGTTCAATTGCCCCTAATAATATCAAAGATTTGATCGCTCAGAGATGGGAGTAAATTTTTGTATTATTTTAAGGGATCGTGGTATCGCAAAATTTAAGAACCCATGGAGTAAACTACATTAAGTCATGGACGCCATCGGGAGGGGGGGGGCTTGAGCGTCCATTTGCCCCATTTCGGATTTTAGTAATAAAAAATAAAAATTTAAAGAAAGAAGGAAATGTATAAAATGTTAATACCAAAAATTGTTTTAGTAGAATATTCCTCTGTCCTGAGTGTTTTTTGTGAGAATTAGTGAAAACAGTTTTATAGAGGTTCAATTTAAGTGCGTAAGCAAATTACAGGCTCTCCGCCTTCAAGAAAATGGCTGCTTCAGTGGGAACAGGCACAACGTCACCCAGTAATTCTGTAAGCGAATTTTGCCCTTACTGGCATTTGTAAACATGTTATTGTGTATCTAAAATATCATTGAGTGTACGTTATGCTTTCAGCAGGAAATCTTACGAAAGAAAAGTCCCATATTTCAAAGAGTTTAAATCCCATCATACTAACTGCATACTGAAGTACGCTGAACAACTGGATAAGGTTAACCTGTCCAAGTGGGGTGCGAACATAAAGAAACGAGTTAGAAATACGCCAGTCAGTTGAGGTTAAAATCACAAATGACTTAATAATTAAAATGAGGCACTAGAAACCAAACTTGCAGGATCTGGGGTTCTCAAAGCGGTGGTTAAAAAGAGTTTTATAATCTTGAATATAACACAATGTAGTTATTCTTCGACCCTGAAGATAGAGGTGATATTTTCTTTCGAAACGTCGCTTGATTTTTGAACAGACCTCACGGTGTTACATCCCAAAAGATAGAAATCTTCACAACCAACAAGTTGCTATCGTATGTTGAAAACAGACTCTGTTAAGTTTCTGACAATGACGTAACAATAAACTTAATGGTGTTGACATACTCTCACAGATGTTCTAGACATAACTAGTTACCGTAATTCGGAAACGGCAGGTTTCTACGGAAATGGTGTAAACCTGAGCACTGTTCCATGGACAAAGGGCCTCAGGCTTATGTTTGTAAGGCAGATGGTAAAACTGAAAGAACTATTAAACGCAAATAGAATTCTTCATTGCCTTAATGATGCAGGAAATGCGTTGACTGTTGTACTGTGGGCGTTTGGCTCATGACAGTAAGCAAAGGGGACGCGCGACTGGTTGCGAACACTGAGATGCGTGAGTCATTTGTTCTGTGTGTAGGCAGCTGCTTTGCGACGGGCTGATCCCCCGTCCAAGGAGTCCTACCGGCTCTGTATAGGATTAAGAAACTGAAAAGGGGGCCAAGGTCAAACAAAGGGCTGTAGAGCCATAGATATATAGAGTCCTCTTTGTGTTTGATTAATTGAACATTGTGCCATGATGAAGAGCCCGGATAGCGTAGTCGATACACCGACTGGCTACGGACCGGACGATCGAGGGGTCGGAGTTCGAGTGCCGATGAGGGCAAGAATTTTCTCATTATTATTGTAATTATAATACACTGTAAGGTTTGAAACGAGTGAATGAGGGTTTTCTTGGTTTTCCTCAGCCACCCAAAGCGAATGCTGGGGTTGTACCTATATTAGAGTACGACCTCATCAACTCATCGATACAATGTAGAGATATTGACAATGTTACAAAATAAGCCACAAAAAAATATTACGAAATTCTGGCACACGACGCCGTGTAGTTAACACTCAGTTTTCTATATTAAGCCCTA